CCCCTGCACGTTCGGACCCTCATTTCCTTACGTGCAGCCTTCATCCTCGCACGTGCAGCCATCTCCTCCTGCACTTAGCTCCGCACCTGCATATATTGTAGTGTGCTGCCCCAAACCTCTCCTAAATTCCGCACGTGCGACCTTACCTCCTGCACGTGCAGCCCCTCTCCTGCACGTGCGGCCCAGGGCCCCCACACATGCTGCTCAGCCATCCAGCCCAGAAATTTTTCTTCGCTCGATTCTGGGCACTTCGGACCTGGTTTCGCACCCTCCGAAACAGGCGAAAATCAACACCGAACAAATAAGAATAAGAATTCACTTGAGGAACAACTTCCGAACACCACGAATCTATAGTTAAACAAAGTAGAACAAGGCGAATAATACCCCCCGGTCATCACAGTTTTTTACGAAGGACCCATTTACACCCAATAGTTTTACAACCTGGAGGTAAATCCATTAGTTTCCATGTTTTATTTGAAAGTAGTGAATCTATCTCATCATTTACAGCCCCTTTCCAGAAAATAGCATCAGGTGATGACCAAGCTTCTTGCACCGTAAGAGGAATTTCTTCCACATTGCAAAGATAATAGTCAAGGCCAAAAATTTTTTCAACTCTAGTTCATTTACTCCTCCTTGATTGGATTTGAAAATTTTCTTGTTCTTGAAAAACTTGAGATGGAGTAGAAGAGCTAGACATGGATAAAATATTTTTAGAAATTATTTGACCTCCACTATTTTTAGATTTGAAAAGAAATTTATTTTCATGAAATATTGCATCACTTGATTCAAAAATAATATTATTTTTCACATCAAAAAATCTATAGGCTGTACTGTGCAACGCATACCCAAGAAAAGCACAGGTGTTAGCTCGTTTACCCAATTTACGTTGTTTAGGATCTACAAGCCTCACAAAATCTAAATAACTCTAAACCCTCAAATAACCTAGAATTGGTTTATGCCCCCGCCACAATTCATAAGGTACAATTTTAGTCTTTTTGTGTGGCACTCTATTTATCACTTGGCAAGCCGTCAAAATAGCCTAACCCCAAAAATTTGACGGAGCACCTGAATTAATCCTAAACTACTCATGATTCCCACATATTTACTATTAATATGACACAAGCGAGCATGCAAAAAATTACTAGAAGACAACATATAAACCGAAACAAAGTTTGCCTTTGTAGTGGAATTGTCATTACCCTCTTGTATTATTAATGCATCTTGGCCTCTAGCCTCCTCTTCGACTTGGATATGAGTGATCAACGCCTCTAAGGAAGTCTCCTTTTGTTTGTGGTGCATGCTCTTTTAGAATTCTGTCTAAGATGGCAGTAGTTTGTCAACAAATTTTGCAACTACCAAGTTGTCACCAATCTTGATGCCTTCAGATCTTACTTCTGCAACTATCATTTGGAAATCTTGTGCTTGCTCCACAACAGATTTTCCATTCACCATTTGGAAGTGAAAAAATTGGCTAGCTGCATACTTTCTTGCTCTTGCCTCTTCAGTGTCATATTTAGTTTGTAAAGCTTTCCAAATTTTCTTTGCGGAAGTGTAAGTGGTGTCATAGTAATCATAAAATTAATCAGCAAGGCAATTTAAGACATAAAAATGACATTTATATTCATCTGTATTGTAGGAAGTCACTTTTGCTTTATGTGCCTTGTAGTCTTCATCATTCATCTCCTCGGTTGAGATTTTGTTTGGGTTTTTCTTAGTAAGAACATAAGCTACTTTCAAAAGGCTGAGGTAGAAAAGAACTTTTCCTTTCCACTTCTTAAAATGAACTCCCTTGAACTTGAAAGGCTTGTTGAGATCTCCAATTCCATCATTGATTTTTTTCTAGTACTTGTTCCATGGTTAATCTCCTTAAAATTGTTGGTGAAAATACCAGAAGAATTATATTTTATTGATAAATAATATAAAGAAAAAGAGATACAAATAGATCAGGCTGAGACACGAATGTCTCGTTTTCTTTAAGGGGATCAAGCCCACTGTGGTAAGAAAAACCCAAATACCGATGCAGCAGTCACAAAACTATGACTTGTCCCCTCCAGGATACAACAATCCGACCACTTGTCGTATGGTTCAGGCCAACTCTGTATAAGATGGTGAACCCAAAGCTCTACCAAGAAAAACACCATTCTTTGCTTGTAATCTCTCAAGTATAAACAATAGTTGGTGTAGAAAAGAGTAGATGAGAGGAACTATTTATAGGTCACTAGGACCTTACAATTTACACCAAAAATAATAATAACCATTAAATAAGAAAAAATGGAGAGTCTCCAAATATAAATTCACCACCAAGTTCATGAATTCCTATTAATCTTCAATCATGAACAAGACAAAAGAACACCAAAACAATGAATCTCCATTCATGAACAAGATGAGATTCATGAACAAGACAAAAGAAGATTCATGAACAAAAATATATAAATAAATAAATAAAAGATATTAAAATGGTCCAACAGTTTTTGTTGTTAAAGGCTTCTTAATTTCCCTTTTAAAAAAAATTAAGTGGAGACTCTTTGTTGTTAAAGCAAGTTGGTACAACAATTTGTGTGGGAAACGAGTCTTAGACTCGAAAAAGGCATGGCACCCACAGTAATAGAAAAAGTGAAATTTCTAACTACGTTTCTATACAACAATAAAATTATATGAATTATTAATTCAAATATATATATGTGACATCATTAAACTTGTTAATTGACCTTATGATTTATTAATAAAAAGGGTAATTTGTTATGCGATTAGAAACTTAAAAGAGCGGAATGTAATTTACAGAACCACGAGGATAATTCGTATTTGAAATAAATCTTAAGATGTGTATTTATAATTTACTCTTTTTTTAATATTTTTTTGTATTTAATGATTTTTTTTATTATGTTTTTAGATCTCTACGAATTGGGCAAATTACTGGTCAGTGAAACACAAAAAAAAAAGAATTTATTTTTTTATTTTTTTATTTTTACAGAGACATAGAGGGTGTAAAATAAATTGATGCTTTGGCGAGGTATGTGTAAGAAAAATCTTAGCGGACTAGGTTGAGGTCCGGCGGGCAGCTAAGGTGAGGTTGCCGCCCGCCGGGGACGTGAAAATATCAGGTTCTAAACCTGCTCTGATACCATGTAAAATAAATTGATGTATATTATTGATTGATGTATTACAAGATTGATCAATTACAATTCCTATACAATCTATATATAGAAGAAAATGTGGTAGTAGGTGTAGTGGAGGTGATAGTGGGTTAGGTGAAGTGGAGTGTGTGGTGAAGTGGAGGTAGGTGAAGTGGAGTGTGTAGTGGAGTAGGTGAAGGTAAAGATGGGAAATTCTAACAGAGGGTTAAAATTTAGACTTGCACCCCTGTAACTTTTGAGTTGCACTCCACCCTTCAAGGAGTTGCACCCTCATATTTGACAAAAACAAAATTTAGTTTTCCACCTTGCATTGTTATTTCCTTTTATAAATTTGGTGGACTTGGAACTTAAAAAAATTTGAGACAAATTAAAATGAAATAACACACACAAGACACAAAATTATTAACAAAACAATCTCTTTTAGCTTGATCTCAAATTCATATTTTTGCAGATTTAGGCAACCGAACATTTCCATCTTAACTACTTGTTTATCGATTAATTGAAACCCAAAAATATGTGGATGAAGAGTTTGATCACCATGATGATCCCTCAACATCCCCACAACCCTTTTTGTTCTTTCCTTTGTTTTCTTTCTCATCCTCAGCAGCACCAAAGTTAGCTCAGATTCTCTCTTATATGTCTGCCCAAACACAACTTACACTCCCAACAACACATACCAAACCAACCTCAACACCCTCTTATCTGTTCTCTTCTCTAATTCCACCACCACCACCACCACCACCGCCACCACCAATGGCTTCTCCAACTTCACCGCCGGCCTCAACCCCCTGACATAGCCTACGGCCTCTTCCTCTGCCAGGGTGATGTTTCTACTGCCGTCTGTTAAGCCTGCTTCTCCACTGTTATTAAAGAAGTAGTCCGAAAGTGTCCCAATTCAGAGGTTGCCACGATTTGGTACGAAGGGTGCACATCGCGATACTCTAACCAATCTATCTTCTCTTATGTGGATTAGACAATTGCACTTAGTTTGGTTAATACGCAAAGTGTAACAGAAGTAAACCGATTTGTAGAAGTGTTCGGAGGTGTAATGGATGATATAGTCACTTGGGATTCCTCTTCTTCTTCGGATAGTCGGTATGGCAAGAAGTTTGCAACTAAAGAAGCCAAATTTACACCGTTTCAAGCACTGTACGGGCTCGTTGTAGTTATGATTGCAATAATTGCCTTAGATCTGGTATCTCAAATTTGGCTAGTTGTTGTCTGGGAAGGCAAGGTTTGAGATTTTGGTTTCCAAGTTGTGTTGTCTGGTATGAGTTGCGCCCCTTTTATAAGGCCACCGCCACTGCACCATCGCTTTCATTGGTTCTTCCTCCTCCTTTAGGTCCTCCTACTAGCAATTTACGTAAAATTAAACCTGATAAGTTATTGGGTATCATCTAGTGATTGAAATTATTCATTTCGTAGGGTTATTGAGCAGATTACACACATATTAAATGATTCATTGGATATTAATAATTATATAATTGGATGAGATTTGTTTTAAATAATGGAACTGCTTTGTCTCCAGTCCACCAAGAGGACCGAATGCTCTAGTTCGAGCCCGTAGACCCAATAGAAGTCCTATTTAGACGATTTGATCTGTTAATATTTTAAATCTTTTCTTATACGTTGTTCCCCAAAAAAATAATATTAACTTGCAAAATCATTTGCTGTGGGTACGTAGATCATTTGTTTATTCCAAGTTTGTCTTCCAATCATGTTCTTGACTTTGAATTTCAAATTTTTAGTTTTTTCGTACTTGATTTCTAACTATAATCTGCTATATCAAGCATAATTTCAAATGTGAGCTATTCTTTACTTGTGAAGATTTTCGACCAAAACAATTTTTTTTTCTTGTTGATGCAGGAAAGGGTGGAATCTCATCACAAGTACTCATTGCCATCATTGTCCCAATTGGAGTCTCTGTTTTGCTTTTTGTTGTATGCTTGTCCTTCCAAAGTAGGAAAACAAAGAAGAAATATGGTTCCATTGCAGAGGATAATGGTAAAGAAAAAAAAATTCTTTTTTTGTTTTAACCATTTATTCTTCTACTAATAAATCAACAAATCCATTACATTTACCTTTTGATTTGTCCAGTTGGGAATGAAATTACAACGGAACAATCCTTGCAATATGATTTGTGTACAATTCAATCTGCCACAAACAACTTTTCTGACCAAAACAAAATTGGTCAAGGTGGATTTGGACATGTCTACAAGGTTGGATGTCATTTGTACTAGTACGTGATTTCAACGACATAAAGTACAATAATATTATTCTACATAAACAATTTTTTTACCCTGTTTTCTTATAGTAGATACAAAGTAATAGGTTCCACAACTATTTCTAACCATAAACCAATAAGCCTGACTAGTTTTATGTCTGGTGGTAAAAATTCATTTCTGTAAAACATTTTCTTAAGTAAAAAAAAAAAGAAAAAAAGAAAAATTAGAAGTTTCAAAATTTTGGATCCAAAATTTAGTAAATGTTTTATATTCTCAGGGTATACTTCCTAATGGATCAGAGATAGCAGTGAAGAGGTTGTCTCAAAACTCAGGGCAAGGTGCAGAAGAATTCAAGAATGAAGTTGCATTGGTAGCCAAACTTCAACATAGAAATCTAGTGAGGCTACTGGGATTTTGCTTAGAAGGAGAAGAAAAGATACTCATTTATGAATTTGTGCCCAACAAAAGCTTGGACTACTTACTATTCGGTTTGGCACATTCGAACAACTCTAGTTCTTTATAATATATTTTTTACTATTTTATTTTGTTTCATAGTAAAACACGATTTCAATGAATATACATTATTTATAGTCGAAATTATTGAGGAACTGACCTAGTAGGCTAGTATTGCAATGCATGCTAAGAAAAGAAACCCATTTACACTCTATCTAGATTATAGATTTGGATTGAAAATTGAAAAGAAAAAGGGAAATGAAGAAAAAAAAATTAGCTTATATTTTATTCACATTTTTCCTTTTCCTTTTTAAATCCCTAATTCATGATCAAAATCTAACCTTGATGCATTCCTCTGCTATTGTTTCCATCTCAACTTGAATAAATCTGACACATATCATACCCAAGTCTAATTCCTCACTGTTAACTTGTGCATATATTCTGATCAATGTGCAGATCCACAACAAGAAAAGTTGAATTGGTCAAAACGTTACAAGATTATAGGAGGGATAGCTCGAGGGATGCTTTATCTTCATGAAGATTCCCGACTTAGAATTGTACATCGTGATCTCAAAGCTAGCAATGTTCTATTAGATGAGAATATGAATGCAAAAATTTCAGATTTTGGAATGGCTAGGATCGTCGGTGTGGATCAAACTCAAGGAAATACAAGTCGAATCGTTGGGACATAGTAAGTTTTGTGTCCCCCAATCCCATTAATTTCATTTTCTATATTTTGGATTAGTAAAATTCTTTATGCAATGTCAAGTAAAAGCATCATTCTTTTTCTTCAAATGCTCCCCCTTGGACCGGAATAAAATACAAATGGTTAATTATACTTTTACATTCATCTCTATAGTTTTAATTTAAACAAATAAAAATGGGCTAATTATACTTTTACATTGATCTCTATAGTTTTAATTTAAACAACTTGGTCCCTACACATTAATATTGTAGTTACATTACGTTTGTTGTGGTAGAATGCATATGATATATACTTTTTGAAAGATGCACAATGTAGCAATCCCATCTGTTTAGCTCCTTATGAGAGTAATCTTTGTTGGCACAATTTTTTATTTATTTATTAAATCTTGATGCATTATGCCCTCAGTGGTTTAATATATGTGATGTTATCCCCAAAAAAATTGTTTTAAGCAAAGTTTCTTGTAATATTCTTATTATTATTCTAAACTAACAGTTAATGGTTTGCAGTGGTTACATGCCTCCAGAGTATGTAATGCATGGACAGTTCTCAGTAAAGTCCGATGTATTTAGTTTCGGTGTCCTAATTTTGGAGATCATAAGTGGCAAGAAGATCAGTAGTTTTTACCAATCAAGCTATGCTGAGGACTTGCTAAGCTACGTCAGTAATTACGTACTTTCTAACTATTATTTTCCTGCTTAGGGATAATATCATCACATCCACATGTTCATATAATGAATTATTGCAGGCTTGGAAACTATGGAGAGATGGCACACCTTTGAAATTGATGGATCCAAATTTGGAAGAATCTTATTCAAGAAATGAGGTCACTAGATGCATCCATATAGGCTTGTTGTGTGTCCAAGAAAACATTGATGCCAGGCCTTCCATGGCAGCGGTAGTTTTGATGCTCAGTAGTTACTCCTTTACTTTATTAGTTCCTCAGGAACCAGCATTTTTTGCCCGTAGCATAATGCAGCCAAACACACCAGAAGACCTAGACTCGAATCAATCTACAAGCAAGTCATTGCCATGTTCTGTGAATGAACTATCGATTACTGAACTAGACACTCGATAATGTGAGAAATCAAGGCAATATCAAGGTTCAAAGATAGCTTAATGGCATGAGATGAATATCAATAGACTCAAAGTTGGACACACATGATATATTTCAACATTTGAAAGATTCAAAATAAAATATAGGGGTTCATGTTCTCTCTAGTGCCCTCCTAGCCTCAGCCCAAAATTCAAATGTGGTCATTTTTGTTTGGAGATTTATTTATTTTAGTTTGTTTTGTGCTTTTCTTTTTCATAGACCATATTATTGAGAAAGTTGTAAGTGCACAAACTTTTATTATAGAGCTGGATATAAATCTCTCACATGAGGTGGGACCTATTAAGTATGAATCTCACATCATATACAAAAATTATATATAATTCTGTGATCAAATTTCATACACATAAGAGAACGGTTTGGTTTATTGAGGTTGATTGGGATATGCTAATATTGTCTCATATTCCCTCAAACTTGAAATCTTGAACTTCTTATCATGGCAGCAGCTCCAATTACAATTAAAACAATAATGGAGGAAGAACATGGCTAATTAACAGAAAAAGAACACATGGCTCCTTTTTTGAAAATAAAATTAGAATAATACAAATTTTTAATACAAAATTCCTGATTTATATCATGTTAATGGTGTGTTTTAAATGAAAAATAATTTACAAACCAAATATCATTCTTGAAACTTATCCAAAATAATGTAACGATTAAAATACTTTAAAATTATAAGTCACAATAATAGAAGTTTTAATTGGAGATAAAAAGATCACATAAAACCACATCATTTTGTATATGAATTTTATAAAAATTCGATTTATATATCATTATATTTGAAAATACAAGAATCAATCTCCTTGTTGGGTTTAGAAATTTTTTTTTGAGAAATTGAGTTTTTTGTTTTTAATCAAATTTTTAATTTTTTTTAATATATATTTTTACTTTTTAGATGCACGTAACCTAAATGTACCTAAAAGTAAATATTTGTATAAAAAAAAATTCAATATATAACAATAATATGAAAATATACTAAATTTTTATATTTTTTGCATACTTGTGTATCTATTATTTTTATTTTTAATATTTTTCTACAAATATTTTACTTTTTAGGTATATAACCAAAGATTTTCTTTGGTAACTAAAATAATAAGTCATAACCAAACATTATTTAAAGTATAACCAAATACTTTTTCGGTTGTAACCAAAATAATAACCACAATAACAAATATCACAATAATTCATAACCAAATCATAATTAAGACTAATCACCAAACACTTCAAATATAATGAAAGACCTCTCGGTCATAATCAAAATAAAAATCACAAATGATCATAATTAAGTCATAACTAAAATCATAATGTATTATAAACAAGTTATAACCAACACCATAATGGATCATTATCAAATGCCACAAAAATCATAACTGGACATATGATACAAACCCCAAAGAAGGGTGTGTATTATAGAATTGCCCTATTTAAAAACATACATCTATCTATCTATATATATAATATAGGAAAAGACGGTTTCTATTGTGGAAGTTCCAATATCTCAATTTTAATTTTTGAATTTTTTGATTAAAAAAAAAAATCTCTGCATTTATTGACTTCTCTCAACCCATAAGCCTTTTTGACTTTTCACATACCTACTACTCCACCATTTTCAACTTCTCTTACACACTATGGTTAGTAATGAGATTGCTAAATTATTTTTATAAAAAATCTAAAAGAAATAATTTCTATATTAAAAAAATATCTAAAACAACTATAAATTCTTATTAAATCTATCTATCTATCTATATATTATATAAGTAAAAGGAGGTTTCCAACCACAAGTCTTATGGGAGCTCCAATATTTCAAACTAAAATTTCTAATTTTTTGATTTCAAATAATTAAAAAAAAATCCTTTATAACTCTCATTCAAGCAAAAGAATAAAAAATAAAAAATTAAAAAATTAATATCTCTTGATTTATGACTTTAAAATGGAAAGTATATCAAATATATAAAATAAAAAATAGAAAGTATACTAATTCATTTCAAAATTCAAATTTGAAGAGCACTAAATATAGAAAGCATTCCATTAATTTAAATTTAAAATTATAATAATTTATCCCATAATATATAAGTTTTAAATAATGATCTATTCCATGACTTATCTATATATCTATATACTATTATAATTGCAAAATATTGTCATTTCATTAAGGTTGAAAGTTGTAATTCTTTTTTCTCATTTTTTTTTTATTTTGTTTAATTTTTTGTTAATACGTGTTACAATATGGTTGGTCTATAAATTAATTTTATATTCTTAAAATAAAATTTCAAATTTGGATTCTTACTTAAATTATGTTACTATATATAATTGGAATGAGATCAATATTCATTTCTTAAATTTTGCATCCTTTATTAAATTATAAAATAAAATTTCAAATTTAAATTATTCTTCAAATTATATTACTACAATTAGAGTGAGATCAATATTCACATGTTTCGTAATGATGTATCATAATGTTATTGGTTTAAATATTATTTGTTTTAAGTACATGTGTTCAAATTATTAATCGCTATTAATTTTTTTTTTGTTTTAAATTTTATAAAGAAATAAAAAATTATATCCTTCTAAACTATAAGGAGTTGAACAATAATATTTTTTTATATAATTTTTTTTTTTGGACAAAAGAACAAAAATAACTTTTTTAGTACTTACCAAACATGGTGGATTTTGTTAGATTTATTTTTATTTTATTTTTTATATCTCAATTGTCAATTAAAGAGATTAAAATAACGAATAAAGATATCTTTGGCTCAAATTGTTAAAAAGTTAGTTTTGCTAAAATAATTTAGAAAGAAACGTTAATTTTTATTTATTTATTAAAAGTGATAGATCGTTAAACTTTTTTTATTTAAAATAAAGAGGGTTATAAGCGATAATTTATTATTCATCTAGAAATATTTTCAGGTTAAATGAAAATACCATATTAAATTTTCTTCTTACCTGTTGTTATTCAAATACTTTTATTTTGTAAGAAATTTGTTTTTATTCTATTTAATATTTTATTGTTATTTTTAAATTAAAAAGAATTTCTAAAAAATCATATTTCAATTATTTATGCCATTATAAAAGGTAAATTTTTTTAAGGGAAAATTATTTATAAGTCCTATTAGGAGAACTTATTTAATATGAAGTCCTATGTAGTTTCTCATAAAGTTTCAAGTTTTATTTAGATTGGAAGGTGTTCCACAGGGTCCTATAAATTGTGATTAAATGGTATTAGTGTACTATTATACCCTTTATATGTTTCCATATTATAAATTATTGTATCATTCAGCCTATTAAGTTTTTGGAGACTTTTAGGAAAGTGTAGTGTATACGCATCGTCCGTGGGAGTGAATGTCGCATGGATCACGGATTCCGGTGGATTTTGAAAATGTTGCTAGTTTGGATCAAGATATGGATGATGATGTCGTCAAGGTTGGGGGTTGTGTTGTTTGCTTTTGCCGATTTGGACTCCAAGTGTTTGAGGGAAGGATGTAAGGTTTTTTGCTTCTGGTATGGCTTTCATAATCTGTTATAGCCATCCAATGTTAACCCACATCTACAATGTGGTTATGTATTTTGTGTGTTACGTTCGGTTGTATTTGTCTTTGAATTTGTGCTGTGTCGTTGTTGTAGTAAGTGTTTACATATGTGTCACGTTATGTTTTGCAAACTTACTTATTTTTAAATTCTTTTTAATCGAATGTGAAAATGTTGTTGGTTTATGAAAAATGGTACATCCATACATTGGCACACTTTCATTAGCCTCCAATAATGTAACATTTAGGTTGTAATGTTAACCCACATTTGCAATGTTGTCATGTTTTGTGCGTGTTACGTTCAGTTGTATTTGTCTTTGGATTTGTGTTGTGTCTTTGTTGTGTTTACATACATGTCACGTTACGTTTCGCAAACTTGTTGGTTTTTAAATTTTTTTAATTGAATGTGAAAATGTTGCTGGTTTATGAAAAATGATACATCCATACATTGGCACACTTTCATTAGCCTTCAATGACGTAACATTTAGATTGTAATGTTAACCCACATCTACAATGTTGTCATGTTTTGTGCGTGTTATGTTCGGTTGTATTTGTCTTTGAATTTGTGTTGTGACATTGTTGTATTCAGTGTTTACGTATGTGTCATGTTACGTTTCGCAAACTTGCTGGGTTTTTGATGTTTTTAATTGAATGTGAAAATGTTGATGGTTTATGAAAAATGAAGAAAACATTTTATTCATTTCATATCTGTTATGAATTACATAACAGTATTTATATACAATGCTGAGACTAAAAGATAACTAATCACTGTAACTTCTTAACTAATTCCTAACCACTTAACCAATTCCTAACTGATTTCCTAACTGACTATACAATGCATTTGATATAACAGATTTTGAATGTACAGCTGGAGCTGTAGCAGTTGCAACTGATGCAACTGATTCTGAAGCTGAAGCTAAACCTGGAGCTGGTGATGCTGGAGCTGAAGCTGCTGTTGAAGCTGCTGGTGTGGTTGTCTTATCACCCTCTTGCAAGCTGATGGGAGAAGGAGAGACCAGAAGCTTGGCTTGAAGATATTGAAACCGAGACACAGAGAGAGGTTTTGTAAAGATATCAGCAATCTGATCCAGAGAAGGAACATAACGAAGTAAAAGCTGTTTGCGGGCAACTTTTTCGCGAATAAAGTGACAATCGACCTCTATATGTTTTGAACGAGTGTGAAACACAGGGTTGGAAGCTAAGGCAATTGCCGAGAGGTTATCACACCATAAAATGGGAGCAACCGAGGAAGGAAGCTGAAGTTCATGAAGCAACATTTGCAACTAGGTGAGTTCAGCAGCAGTATGCGCCAAAGACCTGTATTCTGCCTCGGTGGAGGAACGAGACACTGTGGGTTGTTTCTTTGCGGACCAAGAAATAAGATTCGAACCAAGATACACACAATAGCCTGACGTAATGCGACGATCAAGAACATCACCAGCCCAGTTAGAGTCAGAGAAAGCCTGTAAATTAAAAGAACTAGGACTGAATATGAGACCATGAGTTAAAGTCCCTTGAATAAAACGCAGCAATCTTTTGACGGAAGCAAAATGCCCAACAGTTGGAGCATGCATATGTTGACAGGCTTGATTAACTGATAGTGACAAATCAGGCCTGGTGATGGTAAGGTATTGTAGAGCCCCAACGATACTGCGATAAAGTTCAGGTTGATGAA